CTTATACCTATAAGATAAATGCGCCGTCGGCGCGCACATTTCAATGGACACCTTATCTGCAACAGCGGCCCCGCTGCGGAATGCATTTACGACGAAAACAATTGTCGTAAGTACGCTAGAGGTGGTCGAACTAATTACCGGGGCATCGGGAATTACCATTCAATGAACCGCTCTCCTCGGCACGGACAGCGGTGTATATTATTATAGCTATATATATACAATTAATGTATAGCTGCGGTACCTATACATGGTGCAGTATAATAATATATATAATATATATATATATAGGTTGGTATACTAGCTGGTATATACAGGTACGACAGACATAAATCAAAAAAAAAAGATAAAATTTTAAAAACGTCTAGCAGAAGGAAAATTAAAAAAAAGACTATTGTTCGGTCTCTAATTCCCTACCAACCCCCTCCCTCGGGCGCGTCTGTATTTTTTGACCTTCACGCGGAAAAGCTTATCTTGACGGTTGGAAATAAAACGGAGGGAAAAAACGTATCCGCGTCAAACCATAACGATACCTATCTCTAATTACGCGTTTGTTCGATCGTATATATCAATATAATATATACATACATATTTTGTATAAACGCGTTGATAATACATTTTATCGAAATATTCTGMGGTGTATATGGTCGGAATGGAAAAGCAAAAACAAAAAAACAAAACAAAGCAAAACTAAACTGCCCCAACAATGACGACGACGACGACGATGACTATTATGACGACCACCTATACGCACTATATTATATGTATATAGTATATACCTAGGTATTTGTGTGGCTTTGTAGATTTATAGATTTTTTTTCGAAAGACGTATATACGTGCGTAACAGAACAGTGTATATGCAGCTGCTTTATAATATGTATGTTCTATATGTATCTATATAGTTATTACAAATGTACAAATAGACTCGTTTTTCCGTGAATCGATGTATCTAATATATTATACCTACTGTATATATAGTTARTTTGCACGGGGAACCTATATAAAGCGATAAAACGCATACGAAATTGTTTGTGGACCCAGTGATGTGTAACTCACACAGAATTAAAAACAAAGAATTGTATTTACTGAAATAATATTATATTTTCAAATTTTTTTATATTCATAAAAATATCGTGGCGATATAAGCGATTTAAAAACAAGTTATCTTACGAAGTTGATTTTAATAATTGAGAAATAAGAATAATGACGAGTTTAMAATTATTAGCAACGATACCTAATACGTGTAACAAATATAATATTATATTATACATATATATTGTGCAAGTATACGATCACCCCTTTTTTTCATTAATCTCAGCGATTTTGTTTTTTAAAAATTATTTGGTTAATATTTAAAGATACGTAARTAATATGATTTGGATATTATTCACTATCGAAACGGTTATAGGCTCATAGTTGATACCGTCACTGATCGTCATTGATGAATATTATAATTTTTATAAACAATATATTATCAAAAAATCCAATTTTAATATTGTGTCATACTATTAGAATACATTTTTTTTATTTATATATATATATGGGCACAACGATGTAATATATATTGGTTTATTACAATAATATTATGACGATCATGTAGGTATTATTATAATATAGGTACACTTTGATCAAGAGGGCCTTGTAAAACGCGTATACAATGTTCCATTGTACAATTCGATATCGGAACCACAGCGATAATAATAATGGTTTCCGTCTGATGAAATCATTTGCATATTATTTTGTTCAAAGTTCACATCCGAATGCGTTTCTGCAATATTACAAACACAGATGCGTCTTATTGTTTCGTTCAGTATATTATAAACAGACATTGTAATACGCATAGAACGGCTTTGATCGTTGATAATATCGAGAAGAATCTAACAACAATATATTATAATATTATATTATACTTACGGGCTACGCTTATTGTATATTCTATGACACTGAAAAATCGGAAAATGGATTATTTTCGATATCGTTTTAATSTGTTATTTATTATTATAAATTATAATCTATGCGTTGATTTCAATTTATTTATACACAACCAAATTGCTCGAAAGAATATTGAAATTGTGTTTTGGTGAGTCTGTATTGGTAATCATTTCCACAGGAAATAATTATATAGATAGTAATATAGTACGWAATTCCAACTACAACGGATACTTATCGGCTTGACCAGACAAATGACACTAGAAACCATCTCCCGTYACAGCCAGTAAATAAATTACTTGATTTAATTGTGAGTTTGTTACAACTCAACCGATATTAACATTTTTATGAACAATAGGTAATTATATTGATTGGAGACTGTGGATAGCAKCTAGGACGGAACACGCATCTTATACGTACAAATTATTCGTTGCAGATATATTWTTTTTATTAAATTGATAATGATTTATGCGTCTATGGTAATATTAATATTGCATTTATCTTTATRGGGTAAAGGGTCAAGTATCCACTCTACGGGGGAAKTATAAGCATTCGATGCAGCTAAGGAACCTGGTGCATATACCTTATCCCCCCCCCCACACACAAACATATCTATGCGTTATGTTCTTGTCGTGGTATAGTCGAACACGTAGACACATAATATTATAAGCAATATTAGAAACTATCTATACCTATATCATAATACATAAACTCAACCGTAGTTACACTTGCAATATAATAATAACATTAATATATATAATAGGTATAGGTACACATAAAATATTATTTATCGTCAAGGACTTTGAAAAATATTATTATTCCGAGTTTCAAGCGATGGTTTTAAGGCTTTTAATTGCGTATATAGCAGCGTGTTCGAGCTCAAATTTATTATATCATCATTTTAATGCACTGACCTAACTTAACCTAACCTAACCTACCAAGCACCGCAGGCTGCTGTGCCTTTATAGGATACATACACGACGACGGCTGCAGATATATAGATACTTAAATGTATATGCGATGGAGACATAAAAGTCGGAGCGTTATCTATTCATAAGGAGTTTTTAGTGGGGAGGAAGGTAAGGGGACACGCACCTTGTTTCGTTTGGTCCGGTTAGACTGTGCGGTAGTCGTCGTCTCTTTATGCTACCGCTAACCACCCCACCATACCGCAGCAGACGTAACCGACTTTGTGTCACCGCTTCTGCTGCAGCATCACACGAGCTACTTGTATTCATTATATATGTATGTAATGGTATACACACGCTGGCCTGACCGTAAATAATAATAACAGCAATAATAATAATAATGCGGTAAATGGCAAAGCTGCTACAACAGCAGACATTACAAATGCAGTAGATTTWAAAAAAAATTKTTTTTTTACTGTTTCGATTACATAATGTCTCACCGCCGTTCGTAGGTAAATATTATTGATATAAGAAACCATAAAATAATATTATGTTTTTCTGAGCCCTATATCGCGTATCACATATTCCGACGGGTCTACTGCAATTTTGAGTCCATCATCGTGCAGACTGGCCACAAGAGCCACTCGATTTTTAGACTGTTTATCGAATAGCGATTTTTGATGCACACCACATATACATGCATTATTATAATTTTTATTTATGAACGCGTTATTCGAAAGTCAATTTTAAGGAATGTAATGATATAATGTATTAATCCTMTGAATGTCAATCTGTCCGTTTTTAACGAATCTCAAATTCAATACAGCGTATAATAATAGGCAATTATCAATGTCATCTATTCTATACGTCTCCATCTTCTGTATATAATGCCGTTTAAAACATAAGCAGCAAAACGCAAATTGGATCATTTACTTGTTGAAAAATTCATGAGTTGAACTAATTTATATAATAACTTAACTAGTTAGTATCAGTCATAATATAGTACCTAGTTTTTTCCAGTTAATTTGAACCATTAAGTTATAATCTGAACTGAAGTTAAAACTAATCAATAATTATTTTTTTTAAACTGCGAGTTGTACGTATATACAATAATTATATATATATATGATGTCATAATTGAGTAAGACTTTAGTTAAACAATTTAGTTAACACAAACGACAACGTTTATAGCGATAGTGTCCAAAAAGACGGAAGATGAGGAAATAAGAGTGTTGTCCCACACTGTGCCTCCACGACCAAAGGCTAGTCCTCCCCCTGCATTGATTTAATTTTAAAATATTTACACAACTTTTAGATTTATTGTAGAGAGTTTTAACTTTTTAWGTATTTAATTGTTATTATTTTTCGTGTATTTATTTTTTGATTTCCATTATGSCAATAACATAACGTTGATAAAATGAACAAAACATTTTTGTATGATTAGAAGATTGTATTGTGCTTGATTTGCGCGCTTCGTGGCTGTGGTACGTTGTGATAAAATAAAAATAACTAACTACTATCGCATTATATACGTCATACACGCGATAAATAATATATGAATTAATATACATTGTAATACACTAACCTTAACCGGTTTATCGTTTTCCAGACAGTAGTTGGGTAATTTGAGCACGTCCGCCCCGATGCTGGTCTCTTCACCAGCGTTCGATATGCTCTTTACGTATACGTTCTTTCCGGACAGCCTTTTCACGAGAATGTTTCCTTGATCGTCCATCTTCACTTTGACACCCTGAGCGAAATACGTGACGACGGTTAATGCGATTATTTAATAATAAATTATATTGTTCCGTATATGTTTGTTTTTTTTTATACTCACGAGGCCCACTTGTTTTTTCACTTCTTCGGTCTTTGGATCCCGCATTGGGTTGTCGAAGCCGTTCACGCCAATCCTGAAACACAAATGTAATTATTATTGTTAGTAATAATATTTAGTATCCAATGGTTAAATGCGTGCCTATATCTCAGTATTTGTTTTGTTTTTTTTTTTTTAAATTTATTATACCTCAAATCGACTACTACCTAATCAACATTGACAATTTTATTTTTTGAGCTAAGCTTCACAAAATTAGCAAAATAAAGGTAAGCATAAGAATGTGATGTACAACAGTATATAATATCCACATGGCCAAAACAACTAGATAAAATCTGGTGGTGTTTTATTCGGAATTCAGATGTTGCCAAAAATTATTTCATTTGAGTAAAGTTGCGCATGATTTGTAACGCAGTTATGCACTTTTACATACTATAAACATGACCTGGTATTTCAGGTTGTAAAATAAGTAGTTGTAAATTAGGTTGGGGAGGTATAACCTATATTTGTGGCGTTCYTTGGCGATCTCCACGATACTAAATGCGAGTACCTAAGTAGTAAGCTTAAGAATTAAGTTATGCACWACTTGGACAAGTGTAGAAATATAAAACACCACTGTTTGCATAAAATATAGACGATAAGACCTCGGAAGGCGACGACTATAAATATTTCACAATGTCGTTAGCAGTGGACTGTTGGTGCGTATGTATTACATATTTACATAATATCATATTGGTATATAATAATACACGACGACGAGAACCATCGCACAAAACARCGTGTGATCCTACGTTTGTATATGTTATACTATAGTATATGAATACCTTAAATACCTATTTATATATAATACGTTATTATGAATCGAAACTCGCGATCTCTAATAATAAGGAATAATGTGGGTAATGTGGCGAAGCTTCCGGACTTGATGTCGATCCGAACCGCGTTTGAAAATTATTGAAATAAATATAGTTGCGTGCCTATAAAATACACACACCGCGAACGCTACGATTTTTTGCTTGTCATCGTGTAGTGCCGATAACGACAAGTGTCCACTTTGGTCCAAAATAACATTATATATTAAATTCGGACAAGGACACTAGGTAAAATC